GAAGAAATACATAAGAATGAAATTATGTAAATGCTAAATTGGTAAATTGCCTAGTCTCCTAGTATGCTTACATTTGTCATAGCTGCTCACGGATGTAAGCCATTGATTTCAACATGGAACCTAGTGTATCTCTGGACACTTGAAACTTGACCTCCGTTTCTCCAGAAGTTGTCTTTGTATCTTGAAGCTGAGAAACCACAATAATGTAGATACATTGAACACTAATGATGACAAATTTAAGTATAAAAAAATAATAATTTCATACAAAATTGGATTACTTTAGAATAATAATGAATGTTGAAAACAAAGGATTCCTATGTTTGAATTTGCAGAGCCATGCATTTCTTGCTGTGTTTCCATGCATCCTTAGTTTACTCCCAAAATTTCTAGACAGCAGCATTCCAATCCGAACAAATAGCATGAAACACCCAATCCCTAAACTCAGAGGAAACTGAAGCCCACAAGAATGCCCAAAAGTGAACTCTGTCCCACAAATGGTCTGTATTGTCCTCCTTGCATCTTCAAAAATCCTTCTAATCCTCTCCATCCATACCACCCACAATATTGTCAATGCAGCACAGCTTCCTATCACCATACCTCTTTTCCTCCCTCAAAAACAGCTCATGAATGGGGTGGCGCCCCACCATTCGTGTGCTTCTCTATTCATTAAAAACTATTATGCTTTGAGGATGGAAAAAAGCTACAAGTTATATGGGACTTAGGTCCAATGAAAATCTGTGGGGTGGTTTGGATGGAAAGGAATACAAGGATGTTTTAGGATATTGTCGGATGTGAACTGAGAAGCTGCAGTTTCTTCTTTGGGTTTTCTATTTGTGGTTGTCTATTAGTATGTTTTTGACCTCTGGTTCATTGTACTTCTATTTAAACCTTTCCATTACACATTTCTTCTGTTTCGTTTATTAAAGAAACCAAAATGATTTCGACAGATATCTAAATTGTCTTCAAGGACTTAGAAAGTTTATAGTAGATGTGACTTGTCTCCTTAATTTGATCACATTGTACTTCCAGCAAGAAATAGAAATTCCAGTCTAATAATAATAAAGGGAAAAAATTTGCCACGTTCCTTTGTTAAAGAATGGTATGTAGCCAATGGGTTCCCACCACAGTGGTGGTGGATTCCCCCTTCCCCCCATGGCACCCAGGATCGAACCCCAGTGGGGTTTCTTTCCTCCAATGTAACCAAAAAAAGAATGGTATGTATGAGCATGCAATTTTAGTCATTGACTACAAATTACCTAACGCACAGTGCGACGGACTGTAAGCATTGCTGATTCATCAAAACATCATCATTCAACTACAGCAGGACAGAAGGCATTTTAAAAGGTAACAAATGAAAAGAGTAAGAATAGCAGTAATACTATTACTACTAATGGAAATTGTTATAGTAAATATTGTTTTGATGAGTTGCACCTGCATAACCAATGCTACCTCTAAGGAACATCTGCACCTCGCCCCTCATTGGAAACAGAACTTAATGCCCATCGTCAATAGATTCGTGTACTTGCGGGTATTTTTAATTGGTTGTTTGCACATTAATTTGTGTCCTTTTAGGAATGCAACAATTTCCTTCCTCAATACCCTCTTGGTATAGCTTTTCACACTCTAAAGTCCACTTATTTCCCCAACATTTTCCCAACAGGAAATCCATATATCCTTACCTCCAGGCTCCAGCCCAGATAATTCCTGCAGCTTACTTTGTTGAACTTAACCCATAATCTCTTTTGAAAGATACTCAATAGTGCACTTTACCCCCATAACCTTTAAACAGGCCTATTAATCCAGAAATCTTCAATTATAAACTCACTCAACCACCTATACTGACTATAGATAGCTCAATTCAAATTCCTATCACAAGTCTAACTGTAATGCCAATCCAATTGCAAAAATTACGGTGAAACCCAAGAAATTTCATTGTAAATACCTTAACACAAGGGGAAAAACTGTGATACGCAAAAGGTTGAAACTTTGGGTTTGCATACCTTCAAATTGATGACAGCAACTCTGTTGGCTGGTGCAGAGAGCTGCTGACCGATATAGGCCATCGATCTTAACATAGGCTCAAGTGTAACTCTTGTTAGCCTAAATTGTACCTCTGTCTCGCCTGCAGGGTTGCCATAATCTTGGAGCTACAATAGATGTAAAAGAGTAGAGTTAATGACTGATATGGTCCCAACTATTGCTCTAGTATCATTTTGGTCAACCAACTAAAATTTTCATTTGAACCGTCCTTCAACTCTTTTTTTTTTATCAAGATGGTCCTACCGTTAAAATCTATCAATTTTATTGTTAAATTGAGGGGTAAAAATGTTTCTATGAATTAAAATAGTAACATA